AACCAATCATCAAGATGACAGTCACCAATAGAGTTCACCGAAAGCTACACGTACAAACTGCTCACTCAGAATCGGTAAATGAGAAAGAAACTGAAGTAACACTATTCTATTTTACGTGAAAATCACGTGACTGCCTTCCCTGGGGAATGAATGATAGAATAGATAAAAGCCGATATATTCACCAATCTTGGAGATATCGTTTGAGAGAAGATTGATTCTGGGAAAGTCTATTTTTTCCTAATGATGAATGATCTGGAATTCAGAAAGGGACGTTTGATCATCGCCATTTTACTGAAACTATAAAACGTATCACTTCCGCATATATTCTTCCAGAAGGATATTCCTTCCTGGGAAAATTTTATCTGACCAATCTTAGAGAACACAGTAGCTAAATGGTTATTTAAATTCTACACTCAATTATGAACATTAGGGAGTCTCCTCCCCAAAGGATGGATATTTGTTAAAATCATGTCATCCCTATAATATATAGTCTTCAGAAATCATCTGCTACAGTAATCAGAACAGATCAATATATCTACTGATAGCTTCTTGTCCGATAGATAGAAGTTGGCTTACATTAATCAATCCTTTGTAATCACGTGATTACAAGTGAACAGAACTGTCTATCACATAATGACCGGGTTTTCTCATGGAGTATACATGAATGCCAGTTAGGAACTTAGAGGTGATGTTCACCAATCCAATCTCCTGTTTGAACTCACAGAGTCCAGTAATATAATCAACTTACAGCTTAAGAACGAATCATTACGAAATGTTTTCGAGATTGAATCATCTTGAATTCATTCATTGTTTTATAAATGAGAATAATGTGGTGGAATGCATCACAGAAGTAACAGTATAAGAATCCGTTGCCAGAAGGGTATTAAATGCTCATACCTGATGAGTTCCAATAAGCATGAAACCGATCATGTGTTAGTAAGATATTCTGCCAAGTCACGAATGTTGAATTTATAAGAAGTTAAACAGTTGAATAGAATGTCAGCTTGAAACTCATCACATTTTACAGCCCCCCTCTCCTTCTCATCGATTTGAGACAAATTTCCATGAGACAGAGAGAAAAACAAAAAAGATTTTACTGCGTTTTTCTAGACTCTCTCAATTCCCTATCTAGATAGAGTGGCATACTTTAGAATTAATATATTAACTTCATTGTTCACAAAGATCTCAATGCTTGTAATCGAAAGTCTGTTGTCCGGCAGCGCAGGGGTGGGGTAAATCCCGATTTGCAGACAATCTTGAACTCCCCTACTGGCTC